AAAGATAACCCTTCAGTTAGCTGTCATGAACTACGTTGTCGTCCATGACGATCTTAAACTCATGCAGGAGAAGTTAGCTGTCGTTATCAATTTGGGTCTGACGACCAATTTTATCCCTGTTGACCTTAGCGCTCCAAATGCCCGTGTCCTCCAGGAAGCTCTGACAAAGTTTGCTACCTCATTTCTTTAAGAGAGGGGAGTAGCAAATCTCCAATCTACTGGAGATGATATGGTTTTCCCGATGAGGCTGTTTGGGGTTCAAGGCTCAATATTTGGACAGTTTTGCTTACCGAGCCCAAGTGACTCAACTAAAATGTTTGATGAGATGATAAACATATACATAATTATATATATTAGATTAATTAAATAACAAAATTGTGAAACAAAAACTCGCGCACCGCGCAAGCATATTCTAGTCAATCTATAATATAAAGAGAGGCCAACACTATTTTCTCTGTTTGGTTGAGGATATATAACGGCTATGGAAACCATGAAGATCCAAACAACAGACATATCATATTTGAAGGATTCGATCCAACTCGTTTCAAGGGAAATATACGTATGAATTGGCATGACGAAATTTTTGAAAATTCAAGATGTTCAAAGTCCTCATTAGTTAAAAAAAAAAGCATTATGTTGCATAGTCACAACAATTGATGATAATGAGACGATTGACATTCTAAGTCCACAAATAAGAAATCACATTTTAGTGAATATGTATATATAGATTTTTTGTAACAAAATACAATTTGTTTTATTATATATTTATAATTTTTGAAAGTCATATGTGCAATCAATAAAGTATTTGGAGTAAGAAGTGCTTGCATGTTCCAAGATTCAAGATTGATCAATTATCTCACATCTCTTTTACAATTGGAGGAAAAGCTTTTCTCCTCACTCCGAGAAATGTATGATTAGGTTTCTCAATCCTTTGAATTGTTATTTTTTTGGGAATACTGTTAAAATAAATCTTCAACTTTTAAGTTTCGACCTTAAAATGCACGAACTCTCCCATGAACCAAATAAATGTTCAACTTTTTCTGATTAAACAAATTGATCTCCAACTATTCTTGGTCCAACTTTTCTTGACCAAATCCATTTAGTCCCATAATTAATCAACATTGTAGTTTATTACCAATATGACTTCAATGGCTTAAGTTAAAAGATAGGGATTTTTTTTGTTAAATAAATTGAAATTTGTTTGGTAAATAAAAAGTTGAGAATTTTTTGAAATTACACTATTTCAACCTTTTTGTTTATCCTTTTTTTTTTGGTCGAAACTTTTTTGTTTATCCAAAACGTTATTTCTCAAATATTTGGATTAAAGTAGTTAAAATGATTATAGCATTGAGTATTGTTGTCGACTAGTAAAAACAATCATAGATGATGAAGAATAGTGAAATTACAAATATTATGAATTTCTCTTCTAATCTAATTCGTTTGTTTAAGAAAAAAAATAGAGATATCAAAAGATGAAATTACCGTTATGTTTAATTTTCAAAATCAACAATCGGTTTACAATTGGTTAGTATAGTTTAACCCGCCCACCTCCCTATCTTTTCTTATAGTTTTTTTTTTTCGCTAACCCTCGCTGAACAGTGATAAATCTACCCACTTTGCCTCCTTTTTGCATCATCAGTTTTAATCTTAGTACAAACCACCTTTTCCATGCTATTCTTTGTCTTTCTTGCTCTAAACTACAAAGGTACGCATCTCAATACTGCTGTCTCTAGATTCTACATGTCTTGCATGATTCCACACTGTACAATATTGTTAAGGAACCCTCTATGATATAACTTCGCTCAAATACTTGTACTTGGATCTTTTATTAAGTGTTTAGAGGTATTTGGATGCTGATGAAATTTTGAATCTTTAGGTACTATGATGAGTTCCGCTACGCAATCCAGCATCACATATGATCCAGAGACAAGATACCTTCAGCTACCAAGAGTAGGATATGGAGATGCCTTCTGGACAAAGGAGGACAAGCACTTTAAGGAAATCTTCGAAAGAGCTGAATTTTTCTCAACCAAATTCGCTTGCAGAAAAACATTGCAGAAGATGGGGATTGCTGAAAGAGTTGATGAACTCCTCGCATCTAGGCAGCTAGGAAGACTGGCTCACATGGATTACCATCTTTATCCCGACTTATGCAGGGATTTCCTCTCCACAATCAACCTCATTGAAGTGGACGGAACGCTGTGGCTTGAGTTCCTCTTGGAGGATAGGAAATACCAACTGTCAATGACTGCCTTCTACAACATCTATGGGTTTCCATATGGCGATTTTGAGCCCCTACCTCGCTTCAGTCACTCTTCCAATGTCTGGAGTAACATCGCCCTGCCTGTTGCTTTCGTGGAAAGAGAATCCCGGCTATCTATGGTCAAGAATCCCGTCATACGTTACGCGCTTAACCTCCTAGCCACCACCTACTTCGGTAGGCATAAGTCCTCCTTCTCAAACACGACCGAACTCAGCCTCCTCTACAACGAAATTCGTGGAGCAATGACGGTCGCACCAGAACACCAAATTCTAGAGTTCTACCCTCCTTCAAACCCAGGATCCATCTTTTTCCGCAAGCTGATACATACAAAGTTATAAAAAGAAACCAACACTCTCCATTGGTCGACACATGACATCCTCTATGGTCGACACCTGCCTTTTCT